AGATGAGATTTGAGCTTAAGTTTGAGGGAAGTCTTATCTCAGTGATAATGAGCTTAGATTCTAGTCTCTGTTGGGTGTGGAATTAAATCCTAATTCCATTCCTCACTCATTCTAAGACTTTTTTCTCTGATTTTTGTCTGAGTTTTGTAATGACAGGTGATTTAATGTCTGAACCTCAGTATACTACTAGGTAAAATGGAATTTGCAAGATCCACTGCACAGGGATGTTATTAAATGTGATCAGTTCATCATTAAATTAAATGTTATAGAGATTAAATATAGAAAAAATATAAGCTGTAAATGCATATTGCAAGGACCATAAATTTTTTACCACTGGATGACTGACATCTAGCAATGTAACAACAATAATAAAGCAGATCATAAAAGAAGTTCTTGTTAGTATAATGTAAATAGCTCATTGAAATTGGGAAGATAGGTTTTTAATAAGTTTCCACGATGATACCAATGAATAATGCTTTTGAAATGGTCATGTGAACCAAAGGAAATATTAAGAATAACTATGCATGCTGTTCTAACCTTTAAATTAATTTATTATTTCATAACAAGGTCCCTATGAGGTAATTACAAAACTTTATATTCATTCCCAGATGTGAAAATTGAGATCCAGAGAGGTTAAGTAAGCAGTTCAAAGTCACTTGACCATAAAGGGATAGAGCCAGTTTTTAAAACCTGAATTCAATCCAGGCCACATGTATGTACTGCATTGTCTTCCAGTGGTAAAGCCAGGCATAACCCATACACATGCCAAATTTTCATTGAGTATATATTACATTCCAGACAATATTCCAGGCAGACTAAATATAGAAATTACACACACACACACACACACACACACACACACACACACACACATACTAACGAGGAGACAGACATTAACAAATTCACCAAATAAATAATGTAAATTTCATATGATAATAAATGCAACTAAACAATGACAAAGCTGTGGGTTAGGAAAAAGAGTGATGGGAATATTGCTACTAACATAAATAAGGTGGACATACAAACTTCAAAATTTTTCTGAGGAGGTAACATCTGAGCAGGTATTTAAATGACAAAAAGAACAATCATGTAAAGACCTAAGGAAGATTTCTCCACACAGATAGAATCACAAGCATAAAGATCTTTAGATGGAAACAGATTGAATTTTTTGAGGAAAATCAAGGTCAGTGTGGCTAGAATGAAATGTGTGAAAATCCGATGTGAGGATGTGATATTGGAGAGAGGAGCAGGGCTGATATTGTGTAAGGTTTGTGGGTGAGGAGAAAAGGTGTGATTCTCACCTTTTGGAAGATTTTAAGAATAAAAATGATATGGCTTGCTTTATATTTTGAAAAATATTACTCTGGTTACTTGGAGGAACACAGTGTGGTGAAAGTGAAAGCTATTACAGTGGTTCAGCCATGGAATGATACAGGTTTGGACTCAGATTCAGCAGAGCAGGTGGTAACATTTGATTGACTTTGAAATATATTTTTAGGGAAGCTCCACGAGGACTTGCTGATGATGCTGAGAAAAAAAAAACAGTAATTAAGTAAGCCTTTAGAACTGTTTTGACTTGATAATAAGGAAAATTATAGGACCAATTAGCTAAGATGAGGAATATTATGGTACAAGCAGCTTTGGTTCTGAGGGAGAGAGAGCAGGGATGCTGAGATGCCAGCTGGACAGTTAGCTATGCACATTGAATTTAGTGGAGAGGTTCTGGCTTCAGGTTTGGGAGCTGTCCATTGATAGGTAATATTTAAAGCCATGAGTCTGGAGGAGAGGTTAAGAAGAGGTCTGTTCACTGGCTATCCAAAATAATCCAACATTTATAGGAAGAGCCAGTAAGGAGACAAATAAAAGTTTAGACAATAAGGTAGTGAGAGCACAGGAGTATAATTTGTTGAAAGTTAAACAATTGACATCTTTGATGAAGGAAGCAGTGGCAAGCTACATCCAATATTCCTGAAACGTCAGGACTGATGCTTTGACATAGCAAAATGGAACCTGCCATAACTTTGATAGAGAATTTTAAGATGATTGTTGAGACGAAAACATAATATAGGTTAAAATAAGAAAATTATGTAATAAAGGGGAGTTAATGAATATGCAATACTTCCTAAAATTTTGGTAAAACAAGATAATGAGACAATGATAGCAGGGAAATATTGGGTTAAGAGAGAGATACACACATACATACACATATACACAAAAGTGTCACTTGACCCAATGTTTCCCTGCTACGTGTGTGTGTGTGTGTGTGTGTGTGTGTGTCTGTCTGTCTGTCTGTCTGTATTAAATGTATTTGGGAAAAAAAAAGAAACTGATATTGCAGAACAGAGAAAAGATATACAGAAACAAAATCATTTAATGAACAAGAGAGTACAGAGTTTGGCTCACCATAAGTGAAGAGTTATTGAAGAATCTTGGAAAGGATGAAAAATTCCCTCACCAACTAGGGAGAATACTCTAGCAGAACCGATGGTAGGAAAGTGAAGAGGTTTTCACTTGACTGCTTGAATTTCTTTCAAGGAAAATGAAGGGAATTTAACAGTTACAAATGAAGATATGGGAGAGAGGCTTTGTTTGTGTGTGTAAATTTGAAGAGATGATAAGATATTATGTTGTCTCAGTGAATAAGAAAATGTTTCCCCCACTGGAGAAATGTGTAAGAATTGCCAGGAGTCTTTGAGAATGCACTGAGTACACGCTAAAAATTTTAAAATGAGATGAGGAGTGTCTCTCCACACTTGTCCAGTTAGTCAGGTGTTGGCATGGAATGAATAAGGTGACCAGTTAACCATAGTAAGTTAACCAGGGCTGGGGTTTTGCTGGCTGAGCACCAAAAGGGAGCAAAAAGGAAACAAACAAACAAAAAAAAAAGTTAAGGGTCTAAGAGAGGAAAAGTTAGTGTAGTGAACAAACTAATATTAGTATCTGCTGGGTGAGGAGAGAAGGGAGGGCATAAAGAAGCATGAAAACTAAAGGAAATAGTGAAATTGGTTTAAATTCCCAATAGGAGTCGAAGGACTTTTGAAGAGGGGTACAATAAATGACAGGGACACAGAAGAAGTACTGTTCAGAGAAGATTATGCTTGACACAGAAGCTTTGGAAGGGATAAAGTTAGTAGTGGCAAGATTCACAATATGACTGGGAACCCAAGTGCAAGAAGTGAGGGAGGTGAGATGCCAGGCTCAAGATCAGGAAGCAAAAAGCATCAGAACTCACAATTACCTGACTCCTACTGAATGCTCTCTCTCACACCAATTAACTCCTTTTTTTTTTTTAATCAATAAAACCTGGCTAAACAAATGATGTTCTAGACAAGTTACTTATGTGTATAGTGTGGGGGAAAATCAGAAGAGCTGGCTTTGCAGGTGGGACCTGTTCAGTTGCACAGGTCCTGTATTTAGAAGGGCTCCCCATTTTCATTTTGCACTGAACCCCAAATATCAGCTAGCCAGAGATTAGTGATTTAGAAGTGTTATTTTTCTCACTTGGCATAATTTACCATAAGCTTCACTTTTCTCTATTTAACATGCCATTAACATTTTATCAAAGTTCATAATGGAAGTATTAAAGATCCCATCTGTCAAACACTTAACTTTCAATGTAAATTTCCTTTTAAAACCACTCAGAGTTAATGAAAATTGGATGGAAAATGAGAAATTCCCTAACTCCAAAAGTGAATAAGCAGTAAATTAAAAAGATGATATAATTTCAAAGTGTGGGCCTAGAATTTTAATTCATACTTAAATGATGGCTTACAAAAAATACATTTTATTTCTTCTTATTAGTATATGATATGTTTATAATAAAAGGTTTAGGAAATAAAGATAAATAAGAAGATGAAACTGAAAATTACCCCTAAATTCTTAACAATATGCAACCACTTTTAACATTTTGGTGTATATCCTTCCATATTTCACTTAGGTGTTTATATGTGCATATTATGTAGCTCTATGTTTTATTAGATTATATTTTAAAACTTGATTTTTAAACTTGATACTGTATCTAGACAGACCTCATATTCTTGTAATTAAATATTTTTCTTAATATTTAAGTAAAATTTATTTATATTATATGGGTATATAATAACATTTTACACACTCTTGCCAGGCTTCACTATTATAAATAACACCGATATGATAAAAGCATTCTTGTGTTTGTACATTCCTATCAATATAATTTGTGGATCCAAAGGTGCCCATTTTCAAGGCTTTTGATTCTTACTTTCAAATTGGTCTTTAGTATTGCATTAATTTCTAGGCTCATTCATTGGATATTAACACCTCTTCATAATTTTTGCCAGTTACAGACAAAATCTGTTTACTCTCCTTGTCTTTCTTGGTTCTTAATGAGGGTGAACAGGTTTTCATGTTTATTTGCTTTCCTTTATGGTGGATGTCCAGTTAATTATTTTTGATCACTTTTTTTCCCTCTGGATGCCCTTTAATTTTTATTGTTTTGTAAAATAACTAGATATATATTAGGCTTGATTTGCACCAAATTTCCTTTAATGGGAACCTCTGTCAAGGTCCTTCCAACATATTTGAACAGCTCTCCAAGGTTGTTTTTTCCCCAGTGGGGTGGTTTTAATATTCATTACTCTTTTTAAAGCTAAATAAAATATGCATGATTACTAGTTCTGATAATATCAATATCACATAAATAAGATCTTGCAACATGAGGAATGTGTGGCCAAAACACTAAGAATGAAAATATTAAGAGAAAAGTACTATATAAGCTCATGATATATTTCTGTTTTTTCCATTCATTTTTCTAAATTCAAGCAATGCACTTTGTATACTGAACATTCTAGTTATTTGGTCTGCTGTCTCATTCTCTCTACTGCAAGCATTTCACTAATATTCCTATTTTGAGTCCTATGGGAAACTTCCAGTTTATAGTACATCACTGTATATAATTTCACAAGATAACCAATGAGTACCTAGAATGTGAAATGCAAAATTAGGGCTTTGAATTAGTTTCTTACCCTCTCCAGTGTAATTTCTTCAAATTCATATTCAATTTCTGTCCCATTGACCTATGAATAGGAAAAAGATAGAGAAAAGCATTAAATACAGATTGAGGAGGAGAAGCAACATTAAAAAAGGGTTTGGGAATATATTTTTCATTCTGGCTATGAATAAACCACATTTTATTGGTATTTATAATTATACATTTTCATTCAAATAAAATTTAATGAAACCTACTTTAAAATATACAAATGAGACACTAAAAATAAGCAGAGATTATTCTATGTCTTAGAATTTTGTGATTTTTTATTTTTGCAGGGAGGAGGAACAATACAAAATATGAATTAAGAGTTCACAAAGAACAAATCATCTAGGAACAATGATAATTACAAAAGAAATAGTTTTCTCATATCTTTAAAGATTTAATAACTGAACATTAAAGTATGACCTCAAAATAGTGATAATGGCAGCACAATCACGTTATTTTTTATAGTAAATTAGCATTAAGAATGTCTGTGTTGGGCTGGGGATGTCGCTCAAGTGGTAGCGCGCTCGCCTGGCATGTGTGCCACCCAGGTTCGATCCTCAGCACCACATACAAACAAAAGATGTTCTGTCCGCCGAAAGCTAAAAAATAAATATTAAAATTCTCTCTCTCTCTCTCTCTCTCTCTCTCTCTCTCTCTCTATATATATATATATATATATATATATATATATATATATCTTAAAAAAAAGAATGTCTGTGTCTGCTAAGAAATATCTTTTATTGATCTAAGCTCAGGTAATTCATTTCAATATTCTTTTATATAATTTGTCACAATCCCTGATAATGTAACCACACCCATGTACTTTGGCAGCAATAAGAGCAAATCAGAATATGTTTTGAAATTCTTAGAGACTGTTTTAACCATCCAACCAAACCTTGAATTGATTTGAATTTACAGAAATAAACACATTTTAACTGCAGTCAAGCACCGTAGATTTCAACAAATGTTGAATCATAGAGAGTTGCTTTAAAGTAATCCAACAAATATTCATTTCCCATTTTTATCTATCACAGTTTTTTTCTTAGCCAGGCAACACCTCTGAGCAAGATAATTCTCAAACTGGCTGTTTTCTCTTTCTAATTTGTCTCTTGGCAACATCATTAGAATTTAGTAAACAAACAGAGAGGCTAATAGTTTAATTATAAAACTACAATTTTTGGAGGTTCTACTTCAGTTTAGTTTCCATCTTGGAAGAATGTAAACAAAGTACTTGCAGATTAAAAGCTTAATGGAAGTAAGAACTGGACAATCAGACCCTTCACCTAAGCCTGGCAAGAGAGAATTGATGAATGGAAAAAGAGTAAATGAATAGATTTATTTATCTGACTTACAAACAAGTATTTGCAGATACTCTTCTATGAGGAATTTGGAAGTAGTAGTAACAACTGGAGGTGTAATTGTAGTTTTATAATCAGCACATATACAGAACGACTATGACAACGGCCTAATGTGTGTCTGCTACTCATTCAGAGAATATTTTTGATTATTCAATTACATGAGTTAATTGGTTAATCACATTTTGCTGTGTTACTACATTATCAAACAGCCCTAAACTAAATTTGATTTTCTGGGCTTCAGCAACTTAATGACTCACAGAAAAGACTAGATGATGTCAGAAAGCTTCAGCAGCTTTATAGAAGTTTTTGTTCAGCACGTGTAACAGTAAGACAAAAAGAAAAAAACTACAAAATCTCAGGCTCCCTGTATATATATGTATGTATGCTTGCATCTGAATTTCTTGCTTGCTTTTTATAACCTCCTATTTGATAGGAGGAGGGCAGTGAGGGAAGGCTGAATTAATGTGATAGGCTTTCATTCTCGCAGTATGGCTCCATGAAGCTTTTCTTTGCTTCAGTGCTTCCCTAGAAGTCTTTCACATTATTAAAGTGCTGCAAACTGCAGAGAAAAAACAACTTCAAAGACAGAAAACAAGCCTCTGATAATAAATATCTAAAGATCCAGGGTGAAAGAAATTTTGCTGGGAGGTGCTTAAGAGAAGAATATTTTAGTGGCATACACTGCATAGGGGTAGCCTATTAACATCTCTAGAATCATAAATGCTGACTCTTAGATACATGTGAATCCTAATTGGCATTCCAAAATTCTCGAGTCAGCTAGGTGAACTATCCATCCCAGGCTTCTTTGTATTCCATGGGTCTTTAGTTTCCAACCTAAGAAAATAGTGTCATTTGACTACTTCAATAGTACCCAAGGTTTTTTTTAAATATAAGATTAAATGATGCCATCCAGCATGAGTTCTTTGAAAAATAAGCATCCCATGTCTACAACAGGATATGGTGAAGTCATAGAAGCATGGGTAAGTCAATATTGCACACTTAACTGGTGAATATTTAAAACATGGAATCACAAGAGCCAGTGTAGGAGTATAAGAAAGAGATTTGAGAGGCTCCGGTGTTTTTTCTTTCATCAGTAGGATAGCATGGACTACATTCTGCCTAGGACTCCTAAGAGAAGAAATTCTTCAGCTCCTTAGCAGAGATTTTAATGGAAAGGATGAGATAGAAAAACTAGGAATAACTCCTTTTTAATAAAAAATTGCAGAAAACTGGGCAGTGACGTTCATGACCATTTGGTGCCTTTTCAAACCAGTGGACAAGCACAATATTCTTTCAGTATTTTTTCCACATTCATTTAGAGAGAGGTTGTTTATTGAGTGGTGAAGAGCCAAGGAATATCTGCCATAATTCACATCTGCCATAATCTTGTGCATCCTCATTCAGAAAAAAAAAATCAAAATTGTGTTGTGAATGGATCCCAGTGTTGTCTGGGAGAGGGTTTTTAGATAATTCACTTTTATGTGAATTTGCCTTGATGGTCCCACTCTAATCCCAATCAGCTTTTCAATATATGACTTCCAAATAATGAAGTTCTCTTCCTGGAGAGTATATATTTTTTCTTAACCAATAATAATTACTGTGATGTTTGAGCCCGTTGGTAATGTTTTGTGTTCCTGATAGTTCGGGGTCTAGATAGCTGTATGTTCCTGTTATTCCAGCTGGCCCTAACCATCACTTAGAGTGTCCTCTCTACTTGGTGCCTAAAGAAGCGAGAGCCCTGGAATTTTTTTTTAGACTCAGAGGATCAATACAATAAATGGAATTTCATAGTTTTCCCAGATGAGTTTCTCTTTAGATGCTTGATTTTTCTGAACCTGGTGGTTATGTGATGTCAGCTGATATGTTTCTATGGTGGACAGAAAATCAAATGGATACCACACATTATCCTGTACTATTCAGGGTATTAGCCTTCTCGGAACTATATGGCTGCTAGGTGAAGAGAGTAACCTAGAGCTCACAGAAAATAAACTTGGTACTTAAAGTTATGATGTCATAAACTTTGAATATTTTGCATATCTTTCTCTCTAACCTTTTGTTAATTTTACTGTCTATTTTCCCTTTAGTTATGTAGCATGCTCATGCCTGGATGATGAAATAATTTGATTGTATGAGGTAATTTTAACTCCTGAAAAAAAGATATTTTTTCATGAATAACATATGATATCATGTTTTAATGTTATTTAATTTTTAATGTTTTTAAATTAGAATATTAAGTAATAATGTCTCTGAAAAAATTTTTGCTCTTTATCAACTTTGTAGTTTCATTAAAGATATGATTACAATGAACTCCAGAATGAATAATGTTTATACATTCCCCATGTGACATAAAAAATACTGAATCAGGGATATCAAAGTATTGACATCTTTAGAATAAACACAATTCTACCCAATGAACAATACATGGATTTTCATGAAATGCAAAAAAATGGTGATAGATACTGAGAAAATAAAGATTTTTAGATACATCCATATTCTCAAGTAATGTTCAGCCTTTAAAGAGGCACAGAGACACAAATATATTAAGACATTGTAGAAGTGTGAGAGCTGTTATATAAAATAAGAGAAGTGAACTAGAGCCACAGCCCCACTATTACCTCATGCAAGGTCTATGCAGATCTGTTTACTCTGTTGTTTGGATTCCATTCCTCAGTCACATAGAATATGATAGATGCTGCACTAATCTTATCCCTATTATAAGTAATTATTACATAGTAGATGAAAATGATCTCTGATATCATTGTTTTACCATATTACAATACTATTGGACTCTGGAAAAATGGTGATGGTAATGGAGACCAGAGCCTCAGGTTCCCATGGTTTCTTGCCACTTCCAGAGCAAGACATGGGTCATATAGTTTGCTTCATAAATAGCTGCAGCATAAAGCACAGGACCTGTCACATAGCTGCATGATGATTATGTAAATGAGTAAACGCATGAACCAATGAACCTCAGGTTGCTAATGGGGATGCAATTTCTATTGGGTCTAGGCCGTTTGTCATTTCTAGTTTATATAACCTCACCTCCAACACTGGTTATTTTTAGGAACCCTGACTGGCAGGGTTATGCTACCATCACACACTACAGCAAATCTACATACACACTTGCTTGTATTCTTCTTCCTTAGTACTTTGCCAGTATTTGTCTTTTCCTTCTGTTAGAGGATAGCTTCCAACAAACATGTCAAGTTTTACTCTTTACACCTGAATTTTCTATACACTCTCTCTCATAAGTTCAGTAGGTTTGAATGTGTATTTCAGAAAAAAAAAAAACCAACAACTCAGATTTGAATCCTCTTTCCAACATTTATGTTGTGTGAGAATGTAGGCTACTTCCTTAATCTCCTAAAATCAGTTTCTTCATGTTTAAAATGGTACTAATAATTGTACTTTCTTCATATGGTTATTGTGAGGATGAAATTAGATAATTATGTAAACTACTTAACACACATATTAAGTGATCAAGAAATATAACTAAAATCCTATGCAATTATTTTCTGAGACTCTATGAAATTCTTGGGAGAAATGAAATTGCACATGAGAATTGTCTGGCACATAGTAAGTCTTCAATAGTTAGAGCCATCATTATTAGTTCTGGATAACAAATCTGTAAAGGTTAGAAGATTTATTTGATCAAATACTGAATTTTTGCTAAATTTACCCA